CCAGCCTTCTCCTTCCATGGCGGGGGCAAGCACCTTTGCTGGGGAAGAGGCTGTAACAAGGAACAGCTTTTATATCGAGATTCCTCAGTGTCCTTTAGCAGATACCAACAGCTGTCTCCCCAGGGGGCTAATGTCCCTGCTTATGCTTTAGTTTCTTGCCTTTAAGCTGTGTGTGTTTTAAATATCATTTAGGGCCCTCAAGTGGGGATGAATCTTTACAAACATGCCTCCGGGGCCACATGTACACACCCACCCCACACAGCTGCTTGGGCTGTTTTTTCATTGAAATACAGGGAGGAGCCCTTAGAAGGCAAGAAAGCCTTCGAGGGTGCTGATGCCCCTTCTCACTTTGGCATGTCTTCTTGTACTTGGCAGGGTAGCTCCATTTACTACAGCCTTGCACTTTGTGGTCACTATAGGAACAGATTCTCGCTTCCCCTGTTAGGCTGGAAAAGCGGGTAACTTTGACGTCCTCTCTGATGATTCCACTGGTGTCTCCCCAGGCCCCCTCCCTCCTTTATTAGTAAGCAGTGAACTAGTGATTCTTTGTAATCTAATTTTTCCTCAGGAGGACGAGGGAGCAGCCTAAGTAACTGCTTTGCTTCTATGTGGATAGGCAGGAGACCAACATGGTTCTCTGTTACCCTTCACCTAATAGTCACCTAATGGCAGTGCAAAGCATTGCAAAATGCTACCAGATCAGAAGGGTAGCATCTGAGACTCGCTTTGCACTGGTGCAAATGACACAGCCTGTCCGTGAAGTGGGGAATCAGGCCCACAGTACCGGGCAGAGCTGCACATCCACCAAAACAGACAGGTGTTGTAACTGGAATCTCCAACAGCAAATGTCTGGTCCATAATGGAATAGAATTATTTTTAGCAACTGGAGATGGTTATATCTGGGATGCAACATGCTCAGAGTCACAGAGGACATTTGTCACTAAAACCATTCAGATATCCCTCGCTAGTCATGACATATTATTAATTGTATACCTAACCTTCATAAATTCTCTCTTGCTTAACAATTCTATTTAGATTCCCCATTTAACCACCTTACTCAACATGCAGTTCTTAAAGTACATCAATTGTTTCATTAAAGTCAGAAAAAAAGGATGGTCACTCACTGTGTTCTGTAGTCACTCTTCACCAGGTCAGCATGAGGTAAGTCATTGCCTTGGGAGACCTGGAGTATCCAACAGAAGACGACAGCAAAAGATTCCTGTCAGTCATGCACTACTATGACATAGGACCTTTTCATTCTCAGTAATGCTGGAATGGAAGTGGGCTTGTGAGAGACCTGAAGGAAATGATATTGCAGTCAAAGGAGATATGTATTCCATTAGATGCAGCTTTGCTTAGGTCTCCATCTGTGAGATCGTGACCAGTACCAATTGACTAAGGACATTTACATCTTAGAGAAAGTCTTTCAGAACTTCTGCCAGTCTTATTGGGGGGTCTGGATGCAGTGTCCTATGATGAAAGACAGATCAGTGTGCTCAGTGTGTGGGAAAAGTCACACCAAAAATGATTTAATAAAGGTAACAAAATTCTTCTCAAGGTTAAATCAGCACTGGCTTTATGTGATGTGACAAAGGTAAAATTACTGGACTTGACCAAAAATTGAGGAAGGGTAGATTCAGGTTGGAGATCAGGAAGAGGTTTTTTGATCACAGAGTTATTGTGACATGGAATCAGGTACTATAGGAATGAGTTGAAGCTGTGAATGTTAAGTCAGGTAAAACTAGAATGAATGAGTACTGGGGACTCCTAGCATGTCTATAAGCACCTGCTGAAAAAGGAGTGTGTGGGAGGGGGTTGTTCTGGTAAAAAGGCAACTGGACCAGTGGTTCCTTCCATCCTAATTTCCTACTGCTTGAGAAAAAAAGGAAAAAAGTCATTGTAGAGGTTTAAATGAAGCTCCGGTCCACCAGCGGGAAGTGAAGTCCACCAGAGAGTTCAGCTAAACATGCCAGAGTTTATATTAGGAGTATGTAAATGAAAGGGATTATTGTATGCCATTCGGAATCTGATAACTCATCACCTTAGGAAGGAATGTCTGTGCTCAATGCCCAGTCTGCCTAGGCTGGCTAGCGAAGGTTTCTGGGTCACACTCTCAGGCAGCTATTTTGCATAGGCTCAATCCAAAGCCCACTAAGCCAATGAAAAGTGTCCCATTAATTTCAGTAGTTTTTGAACTAAGCCCCAAATCTCTAATACTGAATTTTCTGCTTATCCCAGAGGACAGCCAGGGCCTTAATGGAGTTCCTGTTCAGACAGGACAAGGATGCTTGCAGCCTGCTTAGATCAAATGAATATACATCCAAGTCTGCTTTAACCACCCAGGAGACCAAGCTAAATAAATAGTTTAGTAGAGGTGAACTAAAGGTTGAATGAATTTGTACTCAGGGTCACTTAAAACAGACACTTGGTTGCCTCTTGCTGTAGGTTTCAATTGGTTGTTACAGCTTTATCCAAGGTGAACACGTTCAAGTTCTCATACAGAATCAAACCTCAGCAGTACCAATACACAGCAAAAAGCAATCCTCTTTGCAAACTTGACAAACAGGTAAATGTGCAGTGTCTCAGGGGGGAGTATTCAGACCTTACAGATGTACAGAGAGACGATTGCTAGACGTTCTGGGTCAGATCCTTGGCATAGCTCCATTTACTTGGAGCAACACCACTTTACACCAGCTGAGGATCTGGCCCTCTCTCTTCCTCAAAGAATACAAGTGTCTTCTTGTGAGCTCTCCCTCTAGTCTGTGTCTCCCTACTGACTTTGTTCTGTGCACAAAACTGGCTGATTAACTGTGCTGCTTTTCCAGGTGGTGTGTTGGCCTCCATCATGTTGAGCAGTTTCTCTCAGTTAATTGCTATAACAATATTTCTTATGTTCATATATAATTTTTTTTGTATCCATTACAAATCTTTAGCATCAGGTTCATCGCCTTCATTGTCATTATCAATAGCAACATCCCAGTTGGTACCTGCAAAGCTTAACCATCAAGGTTACCATCTTCATCATTTGGAATGGTGTAAAACCCATCCTCATCTTCGAGACCTCATACATCTTCCATCTCCAGCTGTGGTAAATAGAAAATATTTTAGAAAACTGTCTTTCAATTATAGTGACCTTAACAGATTTGTTGAATGTTATATTACTAACATATAACATCTGTATATAGTCACACTGATACAGTGCATTGTAAGTACCACATGTGGGGGGTTGGTAAGGAAATCTATCCTTTACTGTGCTGGTTTGACAGCTCTGGGGACTAAAATTCTCCCAACCTAGATCACTGATAGCACAGATTACAGCAATGTGGGACTCCATCATACTGCCCCCTGAATGTGCCTCAGCATTGACATGAATACACACCCTTTATTGAGCAGAAGATGGTTCAATCTCCATGGCCCAGTCATTCCTAATCCTTTTAGCTGAGACAGTGGTACCAGTTATGACAGTTGGTTATAACTGGAACTGGATGGACTCCAATGGATTTCCTGTGGGACACCAAGCCAACTGTCAGACTATAATGACTGCTGGTCACTACCAACTTATTTCTGAGTATTTCTAAAAATTGCTCATTAGCATGGCATTTGGTGCTAGATGGGATAGATTGGAACCAGAAATCTATGAGACTCTATTATCCCCTGAGCCATCTTATTCCTTGTGAGTAAGGATTTCCATGGTAGAACTGTGTCAGATATGGGTAACTTCACACATACTGCAATCCTTCACGTGTATTGCCCAGAAGGAGTAAGACATAATAACTGGTCCATTGGGTTCTTAGCTGTGATACAGTAACTCATAGCATCATCACACTATCTCATGCTGGGACATGTCCCTGTGTCACCACTGTACTATACTCTGGCTTCCAGGCTTGGTAGTGATCCCTTTCTTGTTCCAGGCTTTACAATGTGACATGTCACCATTCTCAGCTCCCACAGAGAGCATTCTAGGGTATGGTACCCTGTAACCAACTGAAAACCATACTTCAAGAGAACCAGGCGGCCAGACCTTGACAAAAATGTCTATCTTCCTGCAGAAAAGCATAATTACTGAACTACCCCCTTTTGGGCATTTAGGGGTGCCTATCCTCTTAATATGCATGTCATACTCCCACTAACATATATAAGGCATTCTGAAGAGCATGTGTATTCAATAAATATGTGCTGAAAGGAATATAATCACTCATAGAAATGGCTGTTTGCAACTGCCTGATTCGGATTATTGTAGAACATCACTATAAGAGAAATGCATTTTTTAAAAAAATTCTGGAGTGCAGCAGAGAGGAACTGCAGCTCATTTCTGAAGTCTCATCACGTCCTTTTTCCTAATGTGCCAATATAGAACTTTGCAGATGCTTCAAATTTTAACGATATTCACTAGCTACTCTGTGCAAAAAAATTGCTCTTGGAACAGATCTGGAATTCATGCTGGAGTCTGGGTGCTCTAATACCAGTTACTGGCAGAATCACTTGCCTCTGAAATGTTTAAATTGAGCAGAAAGTCAACAGAGTCCAAAAGAATCATTTAAATATCTGAGAAGTAATTTTAATGCTTCCTGCACCAAATGCTGCTTGGGATTCTGCCCTAGCATACAGGATAGTTTTCCCCTTGATTTTTTTTGTTGTCCCAAGCAATTTTCAAAATTGCGTCCAGTCAGAAATTCTGACCTCTTCAGTCCTTTCTATCCAGCTCATCTCCCAGCCAATGAATGATTGTTCCCAATGGGGTTTTAAGTGTCTTGAATGATGATGGGAGACCTGTTATTTAAGTGTGTTATTTATATAAAATGTGCTCACAGGAGTGAAATTGGCCCCTCCAGAGGGGTTGCCAAGATCTATGCCCCGCTTAGCCTTATTTTGAAGCCTTAAATGGGACTTAAGTGATGCACAGACCCTGAGCTGGCCCTCTGCAGTTTCAAAAGTGGTAAGGTCCTGTTGGAAGAGGTGTAACATCAGCTATTTATTTTTTGTCCCTCACAACTCAACAGGTGACCAAGATGTTGGCTGTGGTGGTGATCCTCTTTGCCCTGCTGTGGATGCCGTATCGCACATTGGTGGTGGTGAACTCCTTCCTGGACCCTCCTTACCTCAACATCTGGTTCCTCCTCTTCTGTAGGATGTGCATTTACCTGAATAGCGCCATCAACCCCATCATTTACAACCTGATGTCTCAGAAATTTAGAGCAGCCTTCAAAAAATTATGCAAATGTGAACAGAAAAGGACTGAGAACCCCACCCAATACAATGTTCCGGTGTACTATAGCGTCATGAAGGACTATTCCCATGAGGACTCCGATCATGACGTCACAGAACAAGAAGATCTAAATGGTTTCCCCGCAACAGTGAAGAAAAGTAAACTTTATAGATAAACGTGGTGACCATGAAACAACATAGACTTTGAGAAGTACGTGGTTGTATTTTACACTGTCTGGAACGTCCTATTGAAAATTGTTTCTGCCATATGCAGAGAGCACACAACAAGATTAATTTAAGAGCTCTCTAGGGCATTTAACAAAATAGATTCCTAAAGGGCAAATTAATTTGCTTTTCCTGAATGCTAATTTATTCATAATCAGTATTGTGTGTCAGACTTTTGACAGCATTTTGCATGGTCTGTAGCTAATGTGGTGGTGCAATTACATTTCCTGTTATGCACAAATATTTTTATTTGTTGGGCCTAGTCAGGGCTTACATAGGAAACCTAAGAAAATCCAGGTGCTGAAGGTGGTTGTACAGGGTCTTCAGTAGCATATCTTTTCTCTGAACCAATGCCTCCCAAGCAGTAGTAATGGGCACTGTGTTGCTGAAGTGTCATCTTTCTGGTGGGACATAGAACCGAGACCCAGGCCACTTAAAGTCATTAAATGAAGATCCCATAGGGCTTTCAATAATAGGAGAGGTGTCAGCTCCGTTGTCCTGGCCAAATTCCAATTTGGAAAATTTTATTCTTCCTACTTAAAGTCTCTCCAGTATCTACAATTGCATACAGTACTCTTCCTTTTCTGTTCTGCTGTAACCTATAGTGTGGTGTTGCTGTGTACTGTTGAACAGCTGCCACACACTATCCCAGAGGCAAGCAAAATGATTGTGTTAGGTACCATAAATAATTTGTAAAAGTTTGTAAAGTGGCATGGGACCCTTCGTGATGAATGGTACTATGTAAATGTATAATATTATTGTTTCTAATTGTCGTTACACTCTAAGAAGATAAATGGATATTCAGAATTGTACAGTTCAGTGAAACCATCCTGTGGAGCATGTCCCATACTTGCAAGATATTATTTGGACTAGATCAAAAAGCACAGAAGATTGCACATGATTAAAAGGAACATTCTGAATCCTGGGAATTCCTAGGGAAGATTTTGCTCCATAAAATAAATGGCAGCCATTGGTAATCCTGATGAGTGATAGCGACTTTGTCAGACTCTCACCATACATTGGAGATTGTTTCGTCACTGTGTGGCATCTTACAGCTCCATATCCTCAAATTAGAAAGGGACTGTACAGTACGTCTAGAGCACAAATGTGCAGCTATCCAGCTGTACACCTACAGAAGAGAACTGTTCTGAGAACCAAACCTGCACTTCATTCTGACCTATCTGAGGACTGTACAGCATATATTTGTTTTTGGTCTGATATGTGGCTGTGTGTATACATTATACTGTCTTTTATTTAACTATTCCAAAATAATTATAAGGCAAAGAAAATGTTTAAAAAATGCAAATTGTTGTTTCAGATGCATACTATAGGAATGTTTGTTTGGGAATTTATGGACAAATGTACTTCATGCGCTAACAGCTGGCCTGTCATTAACGTATGTGGGTCTTTAGGAACCATCTTTCTCATTATTGTTATCACTGGGAGTTCTGCTCACTGATTTTAAATCACAGCGTCAATTGGATTCTACAAAGAGAACTGGATAGAATTACCATGGCTACAGCATGTGAAAATTGTACCAAAGGAGCAAGTAAAAGACACATCTTACAGGAGACAATTTTTCTCTAATCTTAATATTTTGTGGCACTAAGCAGAGGTTAATAATAAGATTAACATGCAGCTCAGAGCAGAACAGCTGCCACCACACAAAATCATCAGGTGTAAAGGTCTCAAAAACAGTGGTAGGCACATGCAAGGTATAATAGAAACTGTGCCATGATTAATGACGTCACATTAAAAGTAGCCCAAGTGCCACTCCAGAAATTCATGACAACAATTCCAGCTGTTTTCCTCTTCTATAATGAGACAATCTGTCATACAACTCTGCAGGTAAACAAGTTTCATTTGTATGTATGATCGTGGTGAATAGGGAAGTATTGTGATTATAGCTATTTTTACAGTAGCATCTAGAGCAGTAGTTCTCAAATTTTTGTACTGGTGACCCCTTTCACACAGCAAGCCTCTGAGTGCAATCCCTTTTATAAATTAAAAACACGTTTTAATATATTTAACACCATTATAAATGCTCAAAGCAAAGCGGGGTTTGGAGTGGAGGCTGACAGCTCATGACCCCCCATGTAATAAACTCGTGACCCCCTGAGGGGTCCTAACCCCCAGTTTGAGAACCCCAGATCTAGAGGCCCTTGATATGGATCAGGGCCCCTCTACATTCGAAGCTGTACATACATGTAATGAATAGACAGTTGCTGTCCCAAAGAGCTTACAGCGCCTAACTATGTAATATAGAGTATACTGAAGTGTGCAAAAGGGGTGATAGAGAGGGGGTCCCCAGGTACTCAGAGAATGGATGCCTTAGATATTAATAAATACACTGAAGAACTGGGCATAATGAAAGACCAGTACAAGCCTTCACTGGCTGAGCTGGGGTTTGGTTGTAAATTTGTTTGGAATGTTTGCTATGTCAAATCCTGTATTTCTATACAGCAAAAGAGCACTATTGACCTGGATGGGATTTTTCAGCCTTTCCCTTACCCCAGCCACCTCTTGGTTAATCGATAAAAAGCAGATATAATCTAGAGATGAGTTCCTACCAAACCCCTGAGTCCAAACACTACCGAAATCTTAGCCCTGATCTACACCCTAATTTTATGGCTGGTCCCTGTATCCATAACAAGCCAAACCAAGACAGCAGATCCACCCCTCATGGGATTCAACGCCTGCTACTGAGTTTTGCAATTCTATGTAACCTCAGGTCTTATTCTCCCATTTGTGGCTGATCCACAAACTAGAATGATCCTGGTCTGCTGTGCCTGGCAGAATGGACATAGAGAACAATTCCAGTTTAGCAGGGTAGGAGGTAGGTATATACAGTAGTTTCAATTTGTGAGAGTAATAAACCCAAATATTAATAGGCCTCCAGTCCTAATGAGCCAATAGGTTCCAATGGACATGTTCAGCAAAGCAGCAAAATGATAGCAAGTGCATCTACGTTTAGGAAGAACTGGCTGTAGAAAGAGCATGAACCCCACTGCCCTTAAAACCATCAGCATCTAGTCACTAGTGGGCCATTCATCCACTGGGTTGTGATGTTGTTCCCCCCTGGCATGGGCTATACCCCCAGAAATACCCTCGTAACAAATTGCTTGGTGCCAGTGAGGCGGTGGATGGAGTTCGATGCACAAGAAGCACTACACACATTATTAGAATAAGTTTTGGATTGTTGACTGGCTGTGGTTAGGCATTTTACCTGTCATTGGTGGACATGCTGAGTGAAATCTAGATCAAAGTGACCCTTGTTAACAAGCCCCTATGGTATCACAGAGGCAATGCTTAAGGTATTAAGGTAGTGACTTTAAACAGGTTTATACTCCAAACTGGATCATCTCTGCCAATTTCAATAATAAAGCAGAATTACCAGTAACTCCCTCTGCCTCCTCTCAAGACCTCAAAAAGGTGCTTGAACCCAATAGGTGTGCAGTGGGCATTGGCTGTAAGTTAAACTCAGCTTAGACCAAAATGGCTGATACACACCAAGAAATGAGCCTGAAAATTCAGATATCCAGCCAGCCTTTAGAAACACATTAGTTTCCTTTTGAGCTCGGACTCTGAGCCTTCCAGTTCTGTATGAATGAATAATGGTAACTTCTAACAAGTCTCTGTGAATGTAACAATTTTGTTTCAGGTTTTATTTATTTACCACTTTCTTTTGACGATCATCAGAATGCTCATCGGATACTAGAATCCCTGGGAAATGAGACTTGGTGGGCCAGCTTGTATCAATCAGCATAACTCTACGTGAGACTGACAGAGCTACGCTGAGTTACACCAGCTAAAGATCTGGCCTTACATTGAATCATTTACCTCAGTAATTAGCAGAAAATAGTGATGAGGATCTAATACACACCATCTTAATCAGAACAGGTGTTACACAGGAATCATAATTCCCAGGACAAGACTGAGGTATTAGAACTCTATACAAAGAATTTTGCCCCTTGGCCACTCATTTTAGAATAGCCAGTGCTCCTTCCTTGAACCCTCTTAAATTATAATACCCTACGCTTAGGCATTTAGATCGCTTAAACCTAGGGAATATCTTGAACCTGAAACTGTGTGGCTCTCACAAATTCTTTACAAACATTGCTAGCCACAATCAATATCCTGCGTCTATTAAATCCTGTTTCCCGTCAATCTCATTTCAGCCAGGAATTTCTTTCAATTACTGCTGGGTTTATTTTATTTTAAACAATTCCTTATTCTGAATTGTTTAGAGGGAAATTGTTGATGATTGGGAAGTATGGATTGCATCTGGTGTGTTACTGACTTAGCCAGTTCTCTTAGGACCTTTTACAAATGTCTACTCAATCTGATTATCCTGAGTGCATTGCTTCAAAGTACCGGGAAACTATATTGGAAGTAGCATAGTGTATCATGTACAGGTGTATGAAGAATGGAGAACACAGCTTCTGCCAAAATTTATTAGAATACCACTGTCTCTTCTCTGAATGAAGGAGAGCTTCTAGGGGGACAATGGGACTTATCTATCCCTTTAGGTGTTTCAGTGAGTCAGGGATCCAGCTTTTACTAGACAAAATTATACAACTTCCTTCTTTTTTCTGTAGCTCAATTCCAGGCTGAGGTAGATTGCCACAGCTCAGACATCCCTCATAGATGGGTGTCATCTGTTCAAGATCTCTCATTGGTCACCCAGCCAAGCTACAGCCCACAGTCAGGCTTGGTTCTTCCCGACCTCACACAACTTGTCCCTTATTTTTGGTGGTGACTCTGCCTGTTCTGAAATGTCCCTGCCACACCTTGAATTCTGGCCACATTCATCCATGGCATAAACCTAATGAGGCTGGAGGAATTGCTACAGGAAGGAGTAGTGAGGTCAATAGTTCCTTTCATGACTGCTTGGTCCAAGACAGCACAAAGAGAAACCTGGTGTGGCAGGCAGCACACAGTCTGAGTCCAGCAGCCTTGGTGAATAACCCCTTTATATTTAGTACTAATGTAACCCCTCTGTATTTATTACAGCAGCGTCCTGTCTTTACAGAGGCATAGGAGACATCACAGGATGAAACTGACCCTCTGCACTTACCCTGACCCCAAATAATCACAATTAGTAAAGAGCTGTAACCAACCAAATCTCCTCTCACTGTTCACAGTCACTTTTCTGATTACTAATGTCTTGCCAGATGTG